ATTACCTTCACCAAATTCTTAGCTATTTCATTAGCAGAAACCTTAAATAATTTCTCAGCTTCTTTGTTGAATAATGTTATCGTGGAAACGACTGAATAATCTTCGACCTCTAGTGTTATCTTATAACTGCAAATAATACAAATATTCATATCATTTCATGATTATTTAACTATTATATTATATGCGAGTCAATATGATATCATAATATTACCAGTTTTGTGCCATGACTTGTTTGCTACATTTCTCACACTAGAATGAATTACCAGCTATTAAGGATTTTTTTGAACAATCAGGGCAACCACTGTATCTCCATTTCATATGCTCAATAATACCAATGGTAATAACTTCACAAATGAAATAATATTCCTGTAATTATTGCAAAATAATATCTCAGAAAAGTAATGTAAATCATCGATGATACATACACATAGAACGTATCTTATTATATAATGCAAATTTACATTCGAAGTCCCAGGGTCATTGAAGACAAGTAAATCATTCAATGTGGCATTTGCTGCTTTTATAAGCTGTGGTTGATCTGCTGAGTAGTTGACTGAGGTAGGAATTATTTGTAGCAATTCCTCACTGTCATTGAGATTTCTAGATGATGATAAATTTACTTTAGAAATCCATATGAGCAATAATATATTAAAGACAATTATTCATACATACAAACATAATGCAATTGTACAACATTACATTTCATGTTTATAGTATAATCTCTTAACTACACCACATACCTCTGAGATAAATCCTTCACCTTTGGATCATCAATGTTGATATATACTCTTGACGCGCTGCTAGAAGAAACTGTATTATTTCCTGCTAAATACAAGAAATGAAATTATGTTATACGATAACTAACTATAGAGATACATAATCAGATTAACAAACATTAATCAAGCTTCAAAATATCCTATGTCTACTAAGCTTTAAGTTAATCAACCAGTCAAGCCCTTGGTCTAGAATTATTTGTAGAGGCTTTCATTATCCAAAACTTTCGATCATCTTATGGTTGGTCATTCATTCCTGAATATTGACTCAAGATAGACTACACAAAATGAGAATGTTGGACACGAATACTTGTGTCTTATGCTCAAAGCACATAGAGGAAACCTATCGGAATTCAAGAATATCGAATGTCAATATTCTGTCCAATCATGGAATAAAGTTATTGGAATCCTATCATCAATTTTTATTTCAACAACCTAAAGGGGAAGAGTTATATGAAAATTTTGAAGAGGATGTAATTGTCAGTTACGGTCTATTTGATATGGCAAGAAAGGAACTTGATAATTTTTCAGCACAAAAATAGGGGGCCTGATCATTTGTTTGTTGTGAAGATATAAATTTTATCCAAGATTTAGAATGATGATATCCCTGACCATATGAAGGAGAAGCTGTAAATTATGTAATATGATATGTTGTTGATCTGTTGTTTCCAAACGATGTGTTTGGATAGTTGGTTTCCACGTTTTATTCGTGTATAGTTGATGTACTCAATTTTCAAAAGTGGGTGATGAATAAAATATCTTTTCATTGAACAAAAAAAACATATTACAAGCTGATATAAATTTGAATTTGACTGGATAGCAATGGTACGTGCTCATTACCTCAAAAATTTGTTGCAAATATTCCAGTGATTATCATAACCATATTATTTGGGTCATACTGTTGAGCTTGATCTTCTAAATCTAATGCAATTTTGTTCCATAATGTCACTGTACATTCCTCGCCCCTGATCTTCTAAATCTAATGCAATTTTGTTCCATAATGTCACTGTACATTCCTCGCCCCTTTAAGAAAAGTAAAAAATCAGCCATTTGTTCCATAATGTCACTGTACATTCCTCGCCCCTTTAAGAAAAGTAAAAAATCAGCCATGATATAAAATGATATTAGAATCCTTTATAACTTCAAATGTATACAACGCTTACAAATCATTAATAATTTTTAGCGATCTTCTAGTTTGTCTTTTCCCTCCAGTATTAGAATCTTCCAATGGGTATATATCCTTCACAATTCCTACAACATCTATGAAATATGTATATTATTAATACATGTAATAGCAAGTTTATCAAACTTATCAAATAAAAACATAAATATTAAAATTTTGCACGACCTTACCATAAAGATATGCACGTCTTCCTAGAAATTGTCCAAGTTCATTATAATCTTTAAATTGAATTTTTTGTCTCGGGATTTTCTCATCATCATCTTGGAGAACCTTAATTTCAGTCTGTCTAAAGAAGCATATAAAGTAATTGTTTTGTGTTGCTCGATAATCACCATACGCAGTTATCACTTTGAACTTAGAAAGAATATGAATCCCCCCTTCCTCAATCATTGGTCTGAACCTAGATATTACAATTGCTTTTATGTTCCCTTGAATGTCATTATCCCGATAAGAATAAATAAAGCAGATTAGTAATTATAAATTGATTTATATATATAAAATAGATAATTACATGTTATATGTATCTGAATTTAATTGTAGAAGTCAAATAAAGTTAAGAATATGCAGCTTACATTTTCATCTAACAATATTAGTTGTAATCCATATACTTGTTTAGATATTGGATTGATGTTCCCCCACAACCTGGTAACCCTCGCCTTGACTACTTGATCTTTAGTAGTAAGGTCCAAATCTTTTATAGCTGTATAGCTAGTTATTGACATTGTCAATGATGATCAACTGCAAGATGAAAGTTTCAAAAAATGTAAGTAAAAAGACAGAAGCTATAATATATAATACATTCACAGATGTATAAAATTCATACATTAAATTCATTAAAAAAGTATGCATATGTCAGTTGAAAATTTTAAAAGTTTCATGGTTGACAATAATATAGTTGTGCGACATAGTGTTGAGATAATACCTGCAGTTAGATTGTTGAAAACTTCTTTGTACACAACATTCTCTGTTACATTGTTATCTATTCCATCTTCATTTTCAATGAGGATTTTAAGTCCCTGTGGTGAAGTAACTCGAGAAATTGCTACATATAATTGACCATGTGTAAAACATGGTTTTGGAAGATACAATCCAACATGCTTTAAAGTTTGCCCTTGACTTTTATTAATGGTCATTGCAAAACATGTTCTCACCGGTAATTGTCTTATTTTCTATGAAATTGCCACTTGGAATCAGTATTGGTCATATCTGTCCTGGATATAAAATGCTTTGTCCTAATATTGCTTCCACTAATTATTCTAGCTTCTATTATCCATTTAAGAAGTTGTGTGATAACTAATCTCGTACCATTGCAAAGACCATCTGCTGGGCTAAGATTACGCAAAAGCATGATAGGAGTACCAACTTTAAGTTTAATTTCATGATTTGGCATCCTAGGGAATTTCTGTGAATTTAGAAACTCAGTTGGATATAATATTTCATTGCTTGCAAGATTTGGCGAGGTGGGACAAAGAGAATCAGAACTTAGATATGTAACATACTCCCCTGGAACGATGTCTAGAATTTGATTGTTAATTATGTCAACAACTTCATTCCTTGCTGTTAGTATAGCTCTTTCCTCTAAATACTCTTCATTTGAGTAATTCTGCATTAATCTAGGATATGTAGACAATATAACCTCATCAATCGGATTACCATTCGCATGAATTATAAAATTATCTGGTATCTCAACTAACAAATCCTGATCATGAAATGCATTTTTCTTACACATGTTATAAAATTATCTGGTATCTCAACTAACAAATCCTGATCATGAAATGCATTTTTCTTACACATGTTATCTCCATTTCCAATATCAAGTACCCACTTACTAAAGTCAGAGGTAGACATTGTATTACTTTCACTCACTTATGTTTGCAATATCATATTCTTAGTAAGTGTTAAAACTTTACAATCCCTCCATAAATATGAACAACTGATAGAAGCATGTAAGATATCATGTTTAGATCCTTTTGGAATAACCGGAAGTATTTGTCTGAAGTCGCCCCCAAGCACAAATGTCTTTCCACCGAAAGGTTTGTTTACATTTTCAGAACATTCTGCTCCTAATATATCTTTGAATGTTCTATCGACAGCTTCAAAAGCATGTTTGTGGACCATTAGAGCCTCATCCTAGATTATAAAACTTGTCATCTTGATTAATTCAGCTTCAGGACTACCTATTTTGATTCCACAAGTCGAATTATTTTTCAGAATGATGGGAATATTAAATCTAGAATGTGCTGTCCTGCCTTTAGGAAGTAATATTGATGCTATTCCTGATGAAGCAACTGGCAATACAATTTTTCCTTCTGATCGTAATTTAGAAATAATTGATTTCCAAAGATAAGTTTTTCTAGTTCCTCCATGTCCATATATGAAAAATAATCCTTCATGTTCTTTATATACAGACCCAAGTATAGTGTCATATATAACTTTTTGATCAGTGTTCATTCCTTGAATAAACTTCTCATTTTCACATCTTAACTCATCACTGTTAAAATTTAATTCTTCACTAATAATCTTGTGCTTGCATTGCTGCATCATATGTATATCTGGTAAAGGCATCCCTTTGAAATTTTTTAAGCTTTTACCATTTTTAAGCAATAAATATTGAATTTCAGCTAAAGTATAACTTTGAAGTTCCTGTTCAGACATTGTTAAGGTAGGCATGTCAAGAATATTTCTCTGATCTTCCAATATACCTTCAGCCATATACTTCCAGTTCTTTTCCCATAGTATTCGTGGATTCACAACTTCACAAAAAAATAATAATTTGGCAAACAATTGCCTAAATTGTTTTCCAGAAGCAACATAAGAAGCCTCATCCAAAACATATTGCCATTCTTGGTCATCATTTAATAATCGCCAAGCTTGACATGCTTCTTTGAATGTTGGATAAACTATTCCATCTTTAGTTTTAATGTCATCAAAGGATGTAGGACTTTTTACAACATTAAGAAGCAACCTGAGATAAAATCTCTCACCTGAAGTTGGATGAGAATAAACAACCCTGCCAATACTACGACCTTTTCCCTGATTTTCCATCATTTCTCATCAGCTAACCAAACAAAATGTGAAGGAAATTCTGAGTATGTGAGTGTTTTACTTTCATCATACAACTTGTTTGCTTCCATCCAGCTAATAAATTTTGATTTCTTTGCATTAATATTCTCAATAATTTCATTAAGATCATCTGAGTCTTTGAAAATCATTGACTGATGATCAGGAAGGTGAAATGGGAGCCTCTCCACAGTAGGAATTCTGTAATGTATATCAAATCCGTAGATTCTCCAAATTACTTCTGGTGCTGAGATGTATCGACAATCCAAATAATATTGGATCTCATCAGTTTTCTTCATGGTTATTTGAACCGCTTGAACTTGATTTATGTTACCGTAGAGATATGGAAGCATGATCAGGTCCCTTGGTTATATACTTAAAGAGATATTTTATTGACCTACCTCGATTACACCATTCGACATTAATGTGGGATTGATATTTAACAATAAGGTTCCGATTATAAGGTACGACATAAGCATTGTCCAACTTTGTACCATTTTTATCTACCCATCTATTATTATCATTCCTTCGCCGGTATACAGCAAAACCCGACTCATCAATTACCGTCTCATTGACATACTTCTTTGGAAAGTGTTTTGAGCAATTTCCCTTTCTCATACATGGGGGGCTTGTATTAAATATGCCACATGGACCGTGCATCATATATTGTCCAACCGCTGCATATCCTACTGGATCTGTTTCTCTATCGTGAATCTCAGCACTGATTATCTTATTAATAGCATCAGAATCTGGATATTTACTATTAGGACCCAACCATAGAAAGATATGTGCATGTGGCAATCCCCTTTTCTGAAATTCAATAGTATATACGGCTGCATATATTAAGCCAAACACTAATAAGACAAATGTCATGTCTGGAAATATAACTTCATATATATATATATATACACATACACATATGTATATTTATATTAATATGTAGTTATTAAATAAAATATGCATTTACGTATCAGGTTTTGTATGTTATATCTTATACAACAGTCTGCTATACTTTATAACCTTCCTCAACTTGTTTATTCTCGCAATTCATATGTAGTTAATAGTAAATGTTTATTTTGTTTGTTATTACTCGTATTGTTGCACATCTGGATCCTAAATAATTTTTAGCTTCCATTTTTTCATTCTATGTGCACCATCTTGTATAATATGATTTAGTGATAGTGGATTTCAATAATCAATTTATCTTGATTCTCTCAATAAAATGTACTATATTCCATTGCAAATATGAAGTGACTTTCTTTGTACTTCAGATGGATTTGCATATAGTCAGGTTTGAGTATTTGTTTTGACCACACTAATTTGGTGTTAAAATTAATTTAATTTTTTATTTTGAAAGTTAATGTATCAAAAGTTATAAATTAGAAAGTTGATGTATCATAAGTTATACTTAGCAATAGGAGTTTTCTTTGACAAATCAATTAGCATTTTTTAACTGATGTACTATGTAATCCTGTATATTTGTTTTGTATTTAGTTATCATATTTATTCAGTTTTCAAATTTATTATTTATATCAATTGTTTTGCACTTAGATGCTTTTCTAATGTTTTATATTGATTCATAAATCTGAGTTCTGTTTAAAAATTGGACATAGTTTATTTTTAAACATTGTGCTTTTGATTGTCGTTCATCCACTTTTATATTGTTTCATTTTCTACTTTATTTATCTTTACATATTTTTATATTTGTATTTATGAGTATAACCATCAATAGATCAAGCTTTATTTTAAAAACCCTTGCAACTATATCTGGTCTTTCATCTGGTCTTTGCCACCTATCTCGTCCAATGCATATTTAATCTCTTGCCATTTTGGATTTAAAGTAATTGTGATGAACAAATCCGGATTTCCTAAAACACGACACAAAGAAATTGCATCTTGATAATTTTGAGTCATATATCGATTACCGTCAGTAAACGATGAAGGTAAGAAAATTCTCTTCCCAACTTGTGCTCCATCTGTATCACCTCTGAATATTGCATCTTTAATGCCACAATATAGCTCCGCTCTAAGTTTTGTTTGATTTAGTCTGACCCAAAGCAATCTATCTTCTTCAATACATGTAAACATATCTACAATGTAAGTCTGTAATAGTTTGCCTAAAAGAATCAATGTATGTCCTTCGTTACACCTTTGTTGGATCCTAAATGCAGCATATTCCATCATTGTTACATCTTTTCTCTTCATGTTTGAATTATTAGACTCTCCTTCCAATGAAATGCCAAGTCGAAATCCATCTTCACCATACGGGAATAGTAAAGGATATTGCATGGCCATAAAACTTGGGTGAAGATCACTAATTCTAGACAACCCCATTTTGCGATCATAAACAACAATATCCCGCACTGCTATTGTTTCATCAATGTTTCCCACAATTAAACCTGCTATCTCTGACACAATTGGCATATTTTGCAATCTTCCATCACCGTTGCATGATGATTTAATGATCAATTGTACAGCCAGTAACTCATTTTCCTTGACTCGGTCTCTCACCATACGAAAAACTTTGAACCAACACATTGCAATGATCAAACATTGTAAGTAGATTGCTTACAATAGCATCATCTAATTCAACACTACCATTAATTACTCCCATTCTGTTAAATAGCTCGTGATCAGTATCATATATGTAAAGTTGACAATATTTTGGAATTTCACCCGATATAGGTTTTAAGGAACCTATCTTATGATGATTTTAACCATTCAAGCGATAACAAAAAGGACCCCCTCCATTATTATAAGTATTATCAACTCTTCCTCCAGTCAAGGTGAATGAGAACAAAGAGTTGTACATCCTTATATTTTGTTTGAATTTTGTAGATCGTGCTCCTCCAGATGGTGATAAGAGTTGTTTAAAGAATTCTGGCGGTTGATGAATAAGCGGGAATTTAACTTTCCCTTTACGACAACATAGTGAGAATGTTGGATTCTTAGGTTTTTTAGACTTTTCAGCTCTTTCGTCATACTAAAGCATTGCCTTACAATGAGGACAAGTGAATTTGGGAGGCCCGACGTTGAGAATGTCATTAAAAATACCTTCAAAAAAATATCTCTCATTACTATATATTATAAGTAATACATAGTGATTTAATAATACGATGATTGCAGTCATACCTTCATTTGACAATATAATTTTTACACGTTAAGATTTGTATGATGTATGGGACGATGAACAACTGCTGGCTACATTTGAGAAAGTATTGCCTATAATCATATTTTGATACATGTTATTCACCATTTGAGAATTACATTCAAACACATTCTGTCGTTGTTGTTGTCTTTTAGAGCGTTTATCTGTTAAAAAAAATAATACTCATAAATGTATATATCTATCCACCCCCTCCATATACACACAAACACACACATTAACACTCATAATTTATTGACGCACCAAATGAGTTCTTTTCACAAACCTATAAAACGCTGTTCAACTTCTTGTGTCAACGTAGCTTCAGCAACATAGGAACCTGGATCAGATGCTTGTGTAGGCGTCATGCCACATGACAATTGTGTATATCTAGTTCCAGATGTGTTGCAAATAAGGTTAACATTCTCAGCAGATGACTGAGTAATAGATGTACATTGCCTTGTATTGCATACACCTAACATTGCATCGTTTATGACTTCTGGACAATTAGTATTCGGGTCCTCATCATTGCTCTCCATTATCCTGAAAATGAGTTCTAAGTGTACGTGAAAGTGTGTATGTATATATATATAAGAACATATACACATATCAATAGACAACATCTTGCTAATAAAGCTTTATGGACAATAATAATATCAAAACCATCATCATACATATACTTGGATATAAGTTACAGTAAAATATATAAGCATATTAAATATGTATAGATACTATGATTACTTAATGTTACAACTGCTAAAACTATAACACAAATGGATAATCATAATCCAAGCATCTATGTAAATTAAACAAATATCAACCAAGCAGATTCAAATTCAACACAGATGTACATAGAAAAGAGAGACGTAATTCAGTTTTTAAAGCTCATTGTAACAACTTAATTCAACACGATAGGTAAAAAAGAATATGAATTTGCTAATACTTATAATGATGATCTCCACTCGGACACTGAGATATTAATGAGTGTTTGAAAACACGATGTTGCTCTACAGAATAGATAAAATTAAAGGCAATTAGTTTATATCAAATGATATTATCCCATTTTCTCTAAAGTACACGCAGAATAGATAAAATTAAAGGCAATTAGTTTATATCAAATGATATTATCCCATTTTCTCTAAAGTACACTTCAAAATTACAGTAATTAAAGGCAATTAGTTTATATCAAATGATATTATCCCATTTTCTCTAAAGTACACTTCAAAATTACAGTAATCATCAAGTGTTAGTTATATGTCAATATTCTAACTTTTATTTACAATATAAGTTAGAAACACTCAACGAAACCATGAAAAATCAGGTAGAAGCTGAAATTGATTAATAAAAACGAGCTATCATTTTTAATAAACTCAGTGACGAAATCATGAGCTATCATGCGTAAGAGTAAATTGCAGAAGATAGAACATTGTAGTATAAATTTTTAACATACATTTTATATAAAAATCACTGGACTAAAACAAAGTCAAGGTTGTATTGCCCAATCTAGAGTAAATAAATCACATGAACACAACCCTTTTATTTTAGCTACATAGTATCATATATGAGGATTCAATTATGCGCCAGGGTGTAAATTTGTAGACACTATTAGAAAGATAGGTCCACGTATAGGAGAAACTTTTGTGTACGAAACATACTCAAGTCAGTTTGCTCTACATGTCATAGGCATGAAAAATTTTAAACAGGAAAATCAAATATAAAAATTGGAAGGGACCTTATAGAAATATACTTGAATGATATAAATCTTAAGTTCTAGAGTATGATGAGCAAAACGTGGGAAAAAAATTATACCTATGAAGGAAAAATTACAGAAATGTTTCTAGCATAAATCCTAAGAATAAAACATAATTGTGAAGAAAAATTCAATCACAAAAAAGTATACATGAATTCAGCATCAATTTGAACAAACACTCAACGCAACCATGAACTATTAAGTGGTAGCTAAAATTGATGATTAATTCACGGCATCAATTTTAACAAACCCAGTGACGAAATCATGAGCTATAATGCGGAAGAGTAAATTGCAGAAGATAGAACATTGTAGTACCAATTTTTAACATACAGTTTATAGAAAACACAATGAACTAAAACAAAGTCAAGGTTGTATTGCCCAATCTGGAGAAAATAAATCACATGAACACAACCCTTTTATTTTAGCTACCTAATATCATATATGAGGAGTCAATTATGCATCAGATTTAAATTTGTAGACACTAATAAAAAGATATGTCCACGCATAGGAGAAATTTTAGTGTACGAAACATACTCAAGTCAGTTTGTTGTACATGTCATAGGCATGAGAATTTTTAAACAGGAAAATCAAATATAAATTAGAAGGGAACTTATAGTACTATACTTGAATGATATAAATCTTAAGTTCTAGTGTATGATGAGCACATCGTGAGGAAAAAAATTATACCTATGAAGCAAAAATACAAAAATGTTTCTATCATAAATCCTAAGTATAAATCATCAGTGTGAAGAAATTTCAAGCCCAAAAAAACATAATCAAGTCAGTTTGCTCTACATGTCATAGGCATGAAAAATTATAAACATGAAAATCAAATATATAAATTTGCATGGGAAATTATAGTACTATACTTGAATGATATAAATCTTAAGTTCTAGTGTATGATGAGCACGTGGGAAAAAAATTATACCTATGAAGGAAAAATACAGAAATCATGAGCTATCAATTTTAACAAACTCAGTGACGAAATCATGAGCTATCATGCGTAAGAGTAAATTGCAGAAGATAGAACATTGTAGTACAAATTTTTAACATTACAGTTTATAGAAAAATCACTGGACAAACAAAGTCAATGTTGTATTGCCCAATCTGGAGTAAATAAATCACATGAACACAACCCTTTTATTTTAGCTACCTAATATCATATATGAGGATTCAATTATGCACCAGGTTGTAAATTTGTAGACACTATTAGAAAGATAGGTCCACGTATAGGAGAAACTTTTGTGTACGAAACATACTCAAGTCAGTTTGCTCTACATGTTATAGGCATGAAAAATTTTAAACAGGAAAATCAAATACTGTAATTGGAAGGGAACTTATAGCAATATATTTGAATGATATAAATCTTAAGTTCTAGTGTATGATGAGCACAACGTGGGAAAAATTATACCTATGAAGGAAAAAATTTCAGAAATGTTTCTAGCATAAATCCTAAGAATAAAACATAATTGTGAAGAAAAAATCAATCACAAAAAAAAAGTATACATGATTTCAGCATCAATTTGAACAAACACTCAACGCAACCATGAACTATCAGGTGGTAGCTGAAATTGATGAATAATTCATAGCATCAATTTTAACAAACTCAGTGACGAAATCATGAGCTATCATGCGGAAGAGTAAATTGCAGAAGAAATCGTTCAAATACTATTACTGAAATTTAAATTTCTAGGCTAATCAATAAAGTTATTACCTGAAGAAGAAATCTCTCTGAGACCATACGGAAGATGAACTCAGTTCTGAGTTCTCGCAAGAAGAGGAAAGCAGAGCAACTGGGAAGAAGCGGAGGAAAGTGGCACTCTTTAGCGGTGAAAATTAGCAACATGTCCTCAGTTCTCGCAACGTGGCTAATTTGAACAAAAAAGGAATAGAGGTGTTCACGGGAAAAATTGTGTTCATTGATTCCATTGTACTCTTGAGTAATAGTTTATCGATTACAAAAGATCCGGTCTTTTTATAAGATCCGGTTACAACAAAATCAAAAAAGAAATAAAAATTATAACTTTCCTTATTTGTCGAACGAATCGCGAGATCCTGTTTTGCGGTCTCTCGCTTGTGTGGGTTCTTTGCCTGCGCCGGGGTTAATCCGTGGACCACCGCGCGATCTTGATCCGGTCGGATCTATACGGTACGACGGGTGTTATATCACGAAGGAAATAACAGCCGAGGGGATTATTTCACCAAGGAAATAATAGCCGTAGTAATCGAAATCGACCAAGCGAAATCGAGACTCTTCTCGGGATCAAAGACCAAGCTCTGATCCGGAGGGAAACCGTGTAGATCTCAGATCTGATCTCTCTTGAACTACTGCCTTATTTAGCGTGGATGATCGCCAAGAACCAGATCTGAGAGTCCGAGTCTTCTAAGCTTTGAATCTGAAGGTGAGTTCTAAATCCAGCAGAGTTTCGGCTCCAAAATTCTAACCTTTGAAAAATGAGCCATGCCCACTCTATTTATAGGCTTCTGAAAGCGGATTTGGGCTCAGATCTGGGCCCAGAGAGGGGGGTGGCTCGGCCACCAGGTGGCTCGGCCACCAGGTGGCTCGGCCACCAGGTGGCTCGGCCACCAGGTGGCTCGGCCACCAGGTGGCTCGGCCACCAGGTGGCTCGGCCACCAGGTGGCTCGGCCACCAGGTGGCTCGGCCACCAGGTGGCTCGGCCACCAGGTGGCTCGGCCACCAGGTGGCTCGGCCACCAGGTGGCTCGGCCACCAGGTGGCTCGGCCACCAGGTGGCTCGGCCACCAGGTGGCTCGGCCACCAGGTGGCTCGGCCGAGCCACTTTGGTGGCTCGGTGAGCCACCTGAGCGGCTCGGTTCTGGCCGAGCTTTTCCCGGGGTGTGCCGTGTCATCCGTTTCTGCGGTTTCGCGGTTTATCCAAGCTTCGTTGTTGATCCGAACTCTGATTTGGTAGTCCGTATCCTGATTTGTCAATAAATCTGCTTCAGTGTTCGAGTTCGAATCTGTTCTACGGTTGGATGACTCATTGACTCATCGAACCGTTAGCTTGATTCCGCACGCGAGTGGATGTGTTCCGTTATTTGCGTACGGTTCGTTAACCTCGTCGCCTCGTTAATCCGCTTTATCGCGTGTCACTTGGCTTCGGTGTTGTGGACTAACGGTCGGGTTTAGATACGTTACCCGATGGTTCGTTGGTTTGTCGAATCACCGTGCTGAGCTGTGCTAAGGGACCCATAGGCAATTTTATACGCCTACAGATACCCCCTCCAAAGTATTTCAGCCTCGTTCTTTTATAGAAGAGTCTGGAATACTTTGGATATGATTGTCCCAACCTTCAGCCGGTGTAACGGGACCTTGGAATGGCTTCTGTTCTTGATTCCTTCAATACTTTAGGCTATTCGGTGCTTTGTCGAATGCCTGCAAGGGTTCCGGTGCTGCATTTATTGTCTGACCGTTGTCGGAGTTTCAAACTTGAAGTCGATTCCTGATTTTCTGATCTTTAGCTCGTGTTTGCTGGTTCAACATAGAACTGACCATCGATTGTTGGCGCTGAGTTCTTATTTGCGACGCGTTGTCCGGCGTAGTATCGTTAAGTTATCCTTAAGAATATTTTTTTAGAAAAATATTCTTCAGGAACTTCTCAACCAAAAATAGGGAATAGTTTATACTCGTATACCTTATTGGAGTATTAAGAATGAGCTGAACCAGCTTGGTTCAAGGCTGGTTTAGGACTGATTCAGGACTGGTTTAGCCTGGTCAGTGTAAAGGACCTGCATTTAGCTTCAATTCCCGACTCCTTTGATTTTCAGT